ACTTGCGGCCTTCCGGCCACTTAATTTTGGGTCATTTTGGAGAGCCTGGAGGGCAAGAAGGATCCTAGCCTCATATAAAGACTCTGACATGTTGGGTGGTTGAGAATTATCTGATCAAATAGTGATAATATAAGGTGAGGGATTTTTGGGACACTCGCTTATCTGGGACACTCGCTTATCAAACACGTTACAGGCGTACCAATCATGATAGACCATTCAAGTGATCAACCTCCCAGACTGCCTCAATTAATATGCCTAAGTCGAGGATGATCATAATGATCCGGTGTAACTTTAGTATGATGCCCGACTTATACCAGTTCGGCTTAAGCATGGAACTTTTGTAATTGATCACACTGCCCATTTGTGTTCTTTACCTCTGTGTTGGGGCCGAAGCCTCTTTGAACCTCTCAACCTTACCACAGATCACACTGCCCTATAAGGGCGCACCGTCGCAACGAGAGGACAGGCACCCCTCTCGGTGAGGTGATCTCAGTCAAAATGCCCTCTCTAAAACAGCTCTGCGCAGTTCTCGGCTTCGCAGCACCGTCGGTGCTGGCCCAAAAAGACAACCTTGGCCTCGGCAATGGCTACATCGACATCAAGACCAAGAACCTCAAAGCCCGCATCGTTCGCGACGCTCAAGTCCTGGTATCGCTGACCTCGGCAGACGACACCTTTGACTTCTTACCATTTGATCGAATCGATGCTCGCGCCCAGAATGGGCAGTATCACTGGGGTGACATCACGTACAGATATCGCAAACAAGGCGTCTCAGCATGGACGAGCGGTGATTCTGCTCAAAAGCGGCAGCCTGTGAATAATGTCAGCACGGGAACTGCTCTTGCATCATCAGATCTTGGCCCGACACTACCAGATAGCCCTCTGAACATCACTCGGGAATGGCTCGATTTTAAAGGTGACCTCGGCCTTCGCTTCACCATCACTAACAGTGGGGTCGACAATATCGAGCTTGGAAGCCTGGGATTCCCAGCTGAGTTCAACAGTATCTTCACCAACAGGACAGCCGAGGAGATGCAAGCCCACTGCTCTCTCGCAGATCCCTACATCGGCCTGGACGCCGGCCACATCCGTGTCGCACCGGTCAAAGGTACTGGCAATGGTCTCGTCGTCACGCCGTTGAACGGAACTGAGACACCACTGGAGGCTTACCGAGATCTGAAAGAACCTTGGTTCGAGTCAACTGGTTATGCAAGTCAGACCTTCGAAGGGTTCTATGAGTGGCAGGTTCTCACCAAGGCGTGGGCAGAGAATGAATGGAAGAACCAAGAGCCTTGGAACGAACCAACTTCAAAAGTTTTGAAGCCTGGCAAGTCGCTCAAGGTTGGTGTCCGGTTCTCTCTATCCGAGTCCATTCGCGACTTTGATAAAGCCGTTCGCAAGACCGGAACCCCTATTGTAGTTGGTGTTCCTGGATACACTATCCCTCGAGACCTACCTGCCGAACTCTTTCCTCTGAGCGATAGTGGTGTTGCTTCAATCGATGTTTCACCGAAAGGCGCACTTGGAATCCAGAATTCTAATAAAGGGTTTCAAACGGGGTATAGACTTCACCCATCATCATCTGCTTGGGGACGAGTTCGCGTCAGCATCAATTACAATGATGGCAAGGTGCAGGCTGTCCACTATTACATTACGAAGACAACATCAGAGACCCTCAATGACCTTGGAAGCTTCTTGACTACAAAGGCTTGGTTCAATGATTCATCGGATCCTTTCAAGAGATCTCCATCGGTCATGACCTACGACTATGAGAAGGGCGCAATTGTCGAGCAGGATCCACGGGTCTGGATTGCAGGTCTCAGTGATGAAGGTGGTACTGGTGCTTATGTCGCTGCCATGCTCAAGCAGGTGGTTCAGCCAAATGCTGAAGAGATCGCCAAGCTGGACGAGTTCGTTCAAACCACGATTTGGGGTGGACTTCAAGGGCAAGACTACGGAGTGCGCAAGTCACTTTTCTACTACGATCCTAAACTGGACTACCCGTATAGTAAGGATAGTGACTGGACTTCCTGGACGTCATGGAACAAAGAAGCTTCGGAGAGCCTCGATCGTGCATACAATTATGTTCACGTCGTGGTGGCTTACTGGTCCATGTATCGTGTCGCACGAGCATATCCCGAGCTAACATCCAAATCTTGGAGTTGGTACTTGGACCAGGCTCAAAAGACCATTATTCGGATGACCCAGAAAGACGTGTCATACAGAGACGTTGGTCTGATGGGCGAGACAGTGTTTGGGGAGGTTCTGACGGGTCTGAAGCGCGAGGGTAATGACACTGCAGCAGATGCTGTCGAGAGTGCGATGAAGAAGCGCGCTGAGCTTTGGCACTCGCAGGACATTCCATATGGAAGTGAGATGGCATGGGACTCAACAGGCCAGGAAGGCGTATACTACTGGACCAGGTAAGATCCAAGTACTACCGACGTGTTGTTTATTGCTAACTTGATAGGCACTTCGGCTTCGATGACTCGGTCCAAAAGACGATCAACAGTGTCCTGGGATATATGCCCAACGTACCTCACTGGGGATGGAACGGCAATGCGCGTCGATACTGGGACTTTGTCTACGGAGGAAAGCTCCAAAGAATCGAGCGACAGATCCACCACTACGGGTCTGGCTTGAACTCTCAAGTTCTTCTCTCAGCTTTTCGAGATAACTCCTCTGACACTTACCTCCTCCGTGTTGGGTACGCTGGATCGTCTGCGCCGCTCACCAACATCAATCAAGATGGCTTTCCCAGCGCCGCGTTTCACTCACGGCCGGATACTCTCAAGTGGGATGGTATCACCGGTGATTATGGCGGTGGCTTGATTGGTACGGTATTGAACTCGGGCACCTACGTCGCCGATGACAAGGATCTTGATATTGTCGCCTTTGGGGGTAAACTCACAAATATAGGAGCTCAGTATTTTGTTGAGCCAAAGGATGCTGTAAGAAAGAGAATATTCATTGGGCCTTTCAAAGTTATGGTTACAGTTGATGCTGGATGCATCAGCCAGTTCAGCTTCCGCCTAGGAGCTCGGAAGGGATTCGACCTTACGCTGTCACAGACGGAGGGTGCTCCCAAGGCAGCCAAAGCCGCGGTATGGATTGAATCAACAGGTGATGAAGAGTGGCAACTCGAAGCGAAAAAGGATGTTGGCGTTGAGAAGGGGCGAGGAGGATGGATCGTACCTCTCCCTAAATCTGGGTCTGTCAGACTACAGATCCACTCAGGCGAACTTTTGTAAAGTTTGGGCTTCTTTGTGATAGATATGAGAGTATTTAAGCATTATTCTATTCTTATTTCAAGGAAAAGCTATCCTTATGTGACATGGTTTCAAAGGTTAAATGGGATTTTCTTTTCCCTCGTTTCCCCGTGCCTTTTCTCGATCTCCTCCAAGCTGTAACCTTTTGTCTCACCCATAAAAAGAATGACCATAACAGTCGTCGCCAGACTACATCCGGCAAAGAGATAGTACGCACCAAAAGAAGACTCATCAAGCAACACTGGTGTCACGAGAGCGACGATGTAGTTGACAGTCTACCGATTAGGTATGTCAGCATGCTTTTTAGCAACAAATACTCAAAGGCTTCACTTACCCAGTTCGAGCTCTGCGCAAGACTCGAAGCACTGCTTCTCGTTCGTCTTGGCATACTCTCAACAACCCACGTTCGGAAGCCAATGGCCCAAGTGAGGTTGAATGAAATGGCGAAGAGATAGATGCAAACAATGACAACCCATCTTCCAGCACCGTGGTCTGGATGAACTTGCCCAGATGCATACAGTGATCCCATGATCACCATTAAGCCGACTATGAGGACACCACCTAAGATGCTTTGCATTCGCCGACCCCACTGATCCGCGAAGATTGTCGCGGGAAATGTGGCAACGAGAAGGACGATGGCAGAAACTCCAGATGCCAGGAACGATGCTTTTTCACCGCTGAGACCTGCTTTTGTGAAAAGAATGGGGGCATAGTACAGAACGCCATCGATGCCGCTAAGTTGCTGCATTCCCATAAGGAAGCAGGCAAAAGCTGTTCTTCCGCGATATGGTGCCGAGAACGCGCATCTGAAATCTCGGAAAGTTTGTCGAATCTCGTGCCAGAGAGATGTCTCACCATCTAAACCACCAGCAGTATCCTGTATCTGAGCGAGCAGCTCTTTCTCTTCAGCTTCGTCAATACCAAGCTTTCGGCACACCGTTCGAGCTTCGTCCGTTCGTCCCTTTGAGAGAAGCCAGCGCGGAGACGGTGGTACAATGAAAGCCACCATCGACAGAAGAACGCCGAGAAATGCAACAATGGCGAGAGGTAGACGCCATGTGATAGACGAGCTGCCAAGTCGTGATGTTCCGTAGCAGGTGAAGTACCCCGTCACAATACCAGAGGTGATACCAACCTGGGGGAGTGCAGTCATGATGCCTCTTACTCTCGATGGGGACATTTCTGAAACTTGCACGTAGACATTGCTCAGAAAGAGGCCTTCGCCCATGCCTTTGATGAGCCGACCCAGGATGAAGACACCGAGATAAGGAGCGCCACACTCAATAGCAGCACCGACACCAAATATGATTGAACCGATAGCGATAAGTCTCACTTGTCCGAAGCGATGGGCTAAAGCGCCGGCTATGAGTGCCGTCAACGCTCCTGGGATGAGAATTGTTGAGACAATAACGCCGTGAATTGTCGCGGAGAAGTCGCCGAAGGTGTCCTTAAAAGAAGCCATAGTAGTGATAGGGCCAATACTTCCAGTGTCCATTCTAAACCAGCAAGTCAGACAATCAACCGATCTCAGAACTGTCACAATTGGAGAACATACCCAAAAAGGAACGCAACACAAGAAGTCGCAACACCAGCGCTAGCATACAGCGGCACCTTCATCTTCACAATTTTACAATGAAATCTACAGAATCACATACGAGGATAACAACTCCTCAGTTTTTAACCTTATCTTTTAGTGTTGCGCAATCTTTTCAGTCGGTGTGATCACATTTTTATTGTGGAAACTGGGCGCTTCGGCTTGCCTCTTTGTCAACGGAGAACAGCGGAGTTTCCGCTCTCGGATAAGTCATCGGGTTGTGTCACTGCGCGGAGATATCGTATTTCCTAAATAGGCAATTGTCATTCTCGCGTTGAATGCTGTTCTGAGATATGCGTGTGGCAACACTGTCTTTATTAACTTTTCTTTCTGTTTATTTGTGTTTCATGGATCCCCAATGCTGGTACGCTACAAGATTTAGGGTTCTCTTATTTTGGGCTAGCGATGCTATAAATAGAATAAATACATAGTGGCTTCACAAGTTTAAGCAACGCGAACCCTACTTTGAACAGAACTACATCCGTCTACTGAACCTTTCGAATGTTCACTTCCATCTTTGATAGGAGTCAACGCCGGATATTTATTCTTCCATAGTTCATTGGCCGTGATACGCGTGCTGAAGCCGAACCTCGCTCTAGAAAACACGCCCTACGCCCTACGCCTTCTAGCATTGACATTGATCAAACATAAGGCGTACCGATGAGGAACATTCATATATAAACCATCAATCTTATTTATTACTATGTAGCCTTTAATTATAACGTAATCCAATGCCCAGTCCAGGGGTACATACACCAATTTTCCAATCTACCTATAAAACGTCCAAAGGAATGTCCTCTTCACCGTCTTCCAGAACCCCTCAGTTACCTGGAGAACCATTAACATGATGCTCTTTAAAACACGAAAGCCAGTCTTTGTTATCCGCCAACGTCTGATCCCATGGATCCGCTGTATCGTAAACGATTCTCCTCGCTTCAGTCTGAAACATCTCATCGGTCGGAATAACCCCGAGACTCATCTGTCGCTGCGCATATCTCCCAAGATGATGAACCAGAAACTCCGGGAAGGCCATGGAGCTGCTATCCTGTGTCATTGAGCGTTGCGGTCGCGCTACGGTTTCCTCTACCGCGTCCAAATTACTCAAACTCCCATCGGTAAAATCCGTTGTTCGTCCGACGTTCTCTCGAATCTGGAGAAGATGGTCTCGACAGCTTGGATCAGTCGCTGAGAAGGGCACGGGACATTTCCCTTCGACCTCAATCATATAAGGTGACAGTGCATTCGTCACACGAGCTTTAACATGCGGTTCAAAGTCATGATCGCCCTTCCAATCAGCCATCGTATCACCCTTTCGAAAGTGCTTCGCCAGGTGTTCGACTCGTTCTTTCCACGTCTCCATTCGAAGACCGCAAATTCCACATCTCGATTTCACAGGCGGTCCCTCGACTTTCCACGAATCTATAACCGGTACCGTTTTCACGTGGTGGACAAGTCGAAGGTGCTGGGTAAGATGATCCTTTCGACTGAAGACAGGAAGTTTATCGTCATTTTGACATCCCGCGTGGTTGTGAGTTTCGAGATGTTCTGGTGTTGGGTCGAGTTGGCTGCAATATGCACAATGGTTTCGCCCTGTCTCTGGAGATACCACTACTCCTCCGAAAGGAGCACATCGCCAGCCTGCAAGATCGAGATGAAGGGACTTTTCGTGCCGAGCCCAGTCATACTTACTCTTGAACTTGTCGCAGCAAAACGTACAAGGAAACCGTCTGTTCTGGGGTTCCTTGCCTTTAGCGGTAGAAGAACGTTTTGACTTGGTGACTCGCCCTTTCAAAGAACCTTTTCGAGTTGCAGACTGAGGTGATCCCACCGATGCGGAAGAACAGCTTGTCGCACTTCCTAAACTATGTGTTGACCCTGCGCGACTCCCGACACGGCTTCGACCTAGGCTCCCAGCGGATGAGCGGGTTCTCAACGGTGTTTTTTTCAGTGCATCGGCAATGGCAGATAGTGACGCCGCTTCAGCTTCCGGGGGCGATTCTTGCCATCTTTGCATAGGATCTAGAGCGCTGTCGCGTTGATGGTTATGGCGAGGTATTGAGATCGGATCACTCCCCGTTCGATGAGGCTGACGACGAAAGTAATGGCTCCGTTTCCGTGGAAGTCCGCGTTGGGAATTCTCAGCTATCGGAGAACCGTTGAACGATTGACCGAATCCAGGAACTCCAAATGGGGATGTCGTTGTCGGAGTTCCCGCTCGATTACCCGATGTTGCCAATGGCGAGATGTTTCCCCCAGTTGGTGGCTGTGCCGCAGCGGGTGTTTCCCACGAATTCAGGCTCAATGCAGGATCAAGCCAGAATTCACTTTGTTGTTCTGGTGGGATCATGGAGTTGAGCAAGTCATCCGTGAAATCGAGGTGCTCATGACCGAACGAAAACTCATCATTCTGAGGCGGAAAATACGATTGCTGAGCTCCCTGGTCCTGAATTGGCGTGTTTCTCTCATCAATAGTCCTATTCGCAAGGCCAAGTCTTGCAAAATCGAGTTCCGAGAAGGTCAAGACTATCGGGTTACGCATTAGCGGATCTCAAACCCGAGATGAAAATCTGCTTACTATCGCCATCAACGTCATCCGACGGCGGCCGTCTCGGTGCACTGGACCCCATTGCTTCGGCCTATGTCCCTGCAATGGAGTTGCGGACAATCGCCTGTAGTTATTAGGTAGTTTGCGATGGTGTTGAGGCCAGGCAAAGTCAGTCATCGAGCGCCTTCTTGATGACAAAAAGGCGTCGTTGACTTTCCGGAATCGGAGTGACACTAACCCCCACCTTGACCAAATTTCGTGACACCGAATATGCGATACTACGTCTCCATCGCGAAACAGTCAGAGGCGATTTACCTCCTTGGCATAATCTGCTTTTTTCAGCCGCAATCGTGGCATTTCTCCGACTTTTCTTCTCCATAGTTTGCCATATTAAAGTGATTACTCATGCGCATTGCACAGACCTTCTCCATACCTGACGAGTCATAGATAAGATTATCTCATCAGATCCCCTGGGAAGATAAAGCCATGCGTCAATGTAGCGGTATGAGCTTGCTTCTACGGACTCTTGGTTCATTATTTTCTCTGGAGACGGTCTGACTCACTGGGTGCAGCTCTGAGCGCTGGTGGCGCTGAAGCCATTTACGATGGCAGTGGACAACACGTTGGACTTGCAAGCCGGCTAATTCTTTTCGCTTCTTCAAGAGCTTCTTATTCGAATATCCGGTCAGTGATATGCTCATATCTGCAGTACCCCAGCTTTAGTATAGTTGTTGCTTCTCATCACGCAACAACTATACTTAAGCTGGAGCACGACAAGCCTACATGAGCTCTGCAAATGAATAGATAATGGCACCATTCGACTCTGCATATCGAGAAATATCTACATTTAACGATGGCGATCCGATCCTGGTTGTTTAAACATTGAAGCTACAGCTCACAAAGTGTCGCTTGAAGAGGCTCGAGCACCGATCATTACTTTCATCCGTTCTTACTACAGAACATCGAGCGTGATCGGAGCTATCTAAGAACCATCACGGGATTTCATTCTTGACCAAATGTTGCACCTTGAAGCCCGGCAAGCCGGAAAGCTGGCATATACCAACGCAAGAGTTCTGGCACATTCGAGTTAACCAAATCTCGATCCGGTAAAAGAACCCAATGATTCTATCGGTATCATAACTATTCTTCGACTTTCCACATCTTTTTGTGATCATCTTTGCTCTTGTATAAGTTGGTGACATTCGCGAATAATAACATAGCATTGGTCCAATCAGTGCAGGTAGCCCATGGCGCGTGACGCTCTGCGTAGGGCGTGAAAATGGCTTAGGTCGGACCAAAATCGGAGCATCATTTTTGGTAGCAACGACGCTTACCGAAAGCGATCAAGTTCAGCATGTTTCACACGAGTAAGTAAAAACGAAGACTTGTACAAAACCAACAGTTTAAAGGCGAATAGTATGTCACATTTGTATGAGTTGACTCGCACTAGAGTATGACGTAGCGAAGTCTGAGATTTTGGATAGCAATAGCAGCAGTCAACGATGATGATCTGTAGCCCTCATCGCATCCTCCTCTACAAGCTGATCAATTGGTCGGGGATATCAGACCGCCTCTCCTTCTTTTCCTTCATCCTTCTTGATCGCATCAACCTGGACTATCGAATGCGACAGTCCCTTACCATCCTCCTTCTCATCAATGATCATAGCCGTTAAGCTCTTCCCATATACACAGCCAGAGTCCAGACCAAAGGTGTATCTTGCAACCTCGGGCGAGTCTGCGCCAACTTGTATTCCAACTCTTGCATCATGGCCATAAACGACGATACTTCGCTTCTCAGGATCCCCAATCGAGTTCTGCCATCGATTCCAAGCATCAATCCACCAATCGCCTTCTCGGGTTTCGAGAGGAAATCCAATAACACCCTCTTTGTACTGACCACTGAAGCCTTTGCCGTTATTAACAATATCTGCCCATTTTGATAGCTCGGTCTTTATATCAGCATCATTGACATCGCCATATGCCGCATAGCGTCGTGTCCGACTCTTGGCTCCCTTGAGTAGACCTGCTCGAATGGGTTCGGTGACAGTAGCCTCTGGGTCTGGATATACCAGTCCTCGCATGTTCATGACAGCCCATGAATCTTGTTCTTCCAGTGGAAGTAAGGGAACTAGACCGCCGTGCGCGACAAGCAGAGTCCCAGAGTTCCAGGGCGGTGATGTTGCTCCCTTTCGTAGTTTGATCCGTAGAACTAGCGGCTGTGAGGCTAACCAGGAAATTTGCTCATCGCTAAGATTGGCGGCTGTTGTAAAGTCGCTTTCCGAACTGTAAGGTTTGAGGTCCTCTGGTGATATTGACTTCAAATCGTCCTTCGTCTCGGATGGGGCCGGTTCGCCATCCTTCTTGTCATTCTCCTTTTCCGCTTTAAGCGCCAGCCTCTTCAACCGCTCAACAAGCTTCGTATCCTCCCCCCTTTTGATAGCAGAATGCGCAGCAAGCACCCTGTCCTCATTATTCCCTCTTATCGCACTCGCCCCAAGCTCCATCGCCAAACTGACAACACCCGGACTATCAGGACCCTTGTTGATCAAGTCCCCGACGAGAATAAGTTTGTCGCCATTGGGCTTGCTATACGCGACTTTTTCCACTAATTTCTTCAGTTCGGGCAGACGGCCGTGTACGTCACCGACGATTATGAGTCTGCCTGGGGCGATGACATCTTGAATACGAGTCTGCAAGGGGTACCACGGAAAATCGGCATGAGAGTGCGCGGTAGATGAATGGGTGTTTATCTCGTATTCATTTTCGTGAGAGAGCATTTTCTGGTTGTTAATTATAATCCTTGGCGAACTTTTGAGTTTACGTTTTGGTGAGGGAGGAGAAGAGATGGGCTTGTTACGAGCGGGCGAATCAGAGGGTGGTTATTGGGGAGTGAATCCACTTCGCTGATGACGAATGTGATACAGAATGATTGCACGTGGAAAAAAGGAAGGAATTTCGGATTGATGAGTCAAAGAAACAAATTGCGAGAGTTTTAGCAACTTATTTAGGAAATGGCATGAATCCAGACAGCCTTTCGACGGGTTAATGCGAAGTGGAATCGTATGTTATAATCATGATATCAATGCACATCAGTATCTAAAAAGGCGTGGTGGCAGAGTGGTCTAATGCGATAGACTAGAAATCTATTCCCTTCGGGGGCGTCTGTTCGAATCAGGCCCACGTCGAATATTTCCTTTTGGCCACTTCACCAGTCTGGCACTATTTTTATCACAATTTTCCACTTGTTTATCTTTTTTCTTAGTTTGAACTGTTCCTTGAAAGTATCGAATTTGTTAGTTGAGTAGAAATATAATTGCAGTAATTTAATAATAATATCTTACTATCATGTTACTCTTATGTATGATGGAATAATTTAACACACCAATGGACAAGAGCTTACTATTCAACAACAGTTTATAACAGACTATATTTCAACTGTAAACCTTCTCCGTGGTGTCTACAACTCTATTATTTATTTCAACAATTTGAAATATGCTCTTTAACTACTATAATGCAATAGCAGGTGGTTTCTGAGTAATTTAGGGTAGGTTGAAGAGTACCCGTTATGTCTACCGTTTAAGCATACACCTATGCTTCATCAATAACCTACTTGCAAGATCCCGTAATTCTTTAAAGGCCTTTAGGTTGAATTAGTTTCACATGAAAAAGATCGTTTGAACGGCATCTAATGTTAGACGCCTCGGTGGAAGCAAACTCCACCGAAGAAATCGTGCTCAGCCCTTCACAGCAGGGGGATATGTAGAGTTCACTAGATCCAACAAGACTACGCTGACGCGTTCCCCATTTCACCTTTGTTCAGAGGACCAAAGAGCTTAATTGCCGCCAAGGGAGGTGGTGTGACAAATGCATGATATGATTTGCTTTAGCTCTATAATTCTGATCAAGAAATCCCCAGCTTCCAGTTCCCCGGGATGTCCAGACCCAAAGCAGCAGGGCTGAAGAACCAGAAAGTCTAGAAATGTGATATCTCTCGCATGGCATGCTCTACGGACAAGCCAGCGGCATGGTTAACTTCTGGACCTCAAGAAATTCGCTTAACAAAGAAGCATTCGGAAGGCAGCGTCGCATGCCAAACGCTCTCAGCTACTAGAAGCGCCCCAAAAAGCTTGATTGTTGTCAGAAACGACGAAAGCGTGGAAACTTAGATGCCGGAAACTACGAGAGAACCAATCGTGGCTTGTGCTGTGTGGGGGGCTAGAATCGTTGGTCTTTGTTGATTGTCGTGTTGATTGCTGTTTGCGTAACCTGATAGTTTGGCCCTGCATTCCAAACGCGCGGGCCCCGTTGACCAGGCCCAGGTCCCAGGCACGATACCGAAAATCGCTGCCAAGATCAAGGGTTCAATCGTCTTTTTCAACGATGAATATTGTGCTATTGAACGTTGCATTAACACATCTTGGCATCTTTGTTTATGTTTGAGTGGTTTGAGCAGCTGTTGTAAGACATGTCAAGGGATGACGAAAGACCAACAAATCCCGCGATAAGGGCGACGCTTGTTTTAGCGCATCCCTTGTGCCTTGCAGGTAAAAGACAGTTTAGCCTCTTTTACTACCTCGTAGTGGCTGTAGCGTATAGACTCAGGGTCTTGTTAGTCGGAGGTCGAATTCGGCAACTCGGATCTGGTGGAGCCGAACCAACTGAACTTGGCAACTTCGGATGGTGAGGCCGCTGTAAGCAAGCCTCGATCATTCCACACTAACAAAACCGTTCGGAATCTAGGCCCTGCTCTCCACTTCAGCTCTCGTTGGCCTGTGATAATGGGCACTTGAAATAAGATCCAGCTGTTCCCCTGCTCTGGGGATCTAGGCAGAGTCGCATCATTCAGTGTTGCGCTGTACGCTTGTCTTGTAAGTCAAGTCTGCACACAGAACAGGTCGAGTCGTGTTGCACGACTCAACTTGTAACATGGCAAACCTACAGTACTGACTAATTCCTCCAGTTATTAAGGGCTAGATCGTACCCAGGCAGTCACCCGACGGCCACCTCGTCTCCTCCCGACGACAAGATGTCGATGTTTGGTCGGTTCCAAGAGAGCAAGAAACAATGGCGTAACTGTATAGTGGCCTGTTTCGCAATCTATGCTCTCGGTTTTCTCTTTTTTTACTACAGCTTCCCGGCCTTTGGTGACTTTCATCGACCTCATCACCATGCTGTCTCTGTCACGAAGCAGTCAAAACATGTCAAGCCAGATAACATCACCGTCAGCGGACTGGTATTCTACGGTCGACAAAGTCGAGTTGAAATAATGAAGTGCTTCATCGAGCGTAATCTGGTCGAAAACGGAGGATGGCTCGACGAAGTTCTCTGGGTCGTCAACACTGAGCAAAAAGGGGATCTCCGATATCTCGAAGAGATCCTGGCTTCCAACCCGGATCGATACAAGAAGATCTATTCCGACGAGATCGCAGGGACGTACACATACAAGAACATATGGAAGAAGTTGGACCGTGGAAAGTATTACGTCAAGATTGACGATGATGTCGTACGTGCAATATTAATGCCTTGGTTCGCTAAACACTAATCACTTGTCTCGCAGGTCTGGATCGACGACAACGCTATCCCCAGTCTTGTCACACGCAAAGTCCAAAACCCCAAAGACTTTGTTGTCTCTGGCAATATCATCAACAACCCCCCTCTTGGCTTCTTTCATATGCGCATGGGTGCCATTCATCCATACTTCCCAGAGGCTTTTGAGCCATTCAGCGTCACAAACGCCACTGATTACTGGAGACCTTCCCGACATCCTTCGTGGGATGGACCCAAGAAGTACAAGTGGGAACTCAAGAATGAACCTCCTTCCTGGCCTCATCATCGATGGCTGCGAGTCCCTGACGATTCGATGCTTGATCAGACTCCTGCTGCAGAACTCAAGTACGACATTTGGGGCGATAGCTACCGCAACTGGGCTATCGCTTCCCAAATGCACATGTCGCTATTTGAGAACATCGAGAAGAACCAATTAGACCTGTACAAGTTCGAGAAAACTTGGACTATGTATGAAGATCGAATCCGAATCAACTTCATGTGCATCTATAGTGATGACATCCTGGACACGGATCCTGAAAATTGGCCCCAAGGACGGGGTGACGAGGACATGATTGTTCTCGATCTCCCAAAGAAGCTCCGGCGACGTAAGTCTCCCATAAA